GCGCGCCGCATTCTGCGCGACGGAGGCGGGCGCGGGCGAGCCCGCGCCCGCGCCGGCGGAGGCCGCCTCGTGGAAGGCCGCCGCCCGCATCGCCGCGCCCCGCCTCGGGCGCGCCGCCTGGCTCGCGAGAGCTCGCCGCGTCGGGGCGGGGAGCTCGCCACGAGGGCGAGGGGGAGGGGGAGGAGGAGGAGGAGGAGGAGGAGGAGGAGGAGGAGGAGGAGGAGGAGGAGGAGGAGGGGGAGGAGGAGAGGGAGGACTGCTGGATAAGGAGTTTGTGAGACCTCGTGGCCGTCGTAGGATTCTTTCGTCTCCACATACCCATTAGTGGCACATAGATCACTGGCGGTGCAGTCACTGTCTCAGAACTGTGTCACCACGCACGAAGACCCCTTGCATCGGCCTGAATCCCTCTCTCCTGGAAGCGCTGAAGACCCCTGGACATTTCGGGCATTCCCTCCACGTCGCCTTTGTCGTGGAGTCTGGTTTTCCTGTTGTGTTCTGCTCCAGGTGCGGCGCTTTTGGGACTCAGAAAGCCATCAAGCTGAGGTCGAGGTGTGTGCCGAATGAAAATTCGAAAGAGAAGCGTGCCCTTCTCAAAGGCAAGCTTCCGATGACACAGTGCAGAATTCATTCCCCCCAGCAGGTCAGCGGCACTGCCCTGGGCAATTTCATCACTCAACTCTAATCTTCTGGGTTCGTGCCCACGTGCCAGCTGTGCTCTGTATGGCTGACGCTCTTGCTACCCGCACTACCCGCAGGAGAGGGAGGAGGAGGAGGAGAGGGCGGAGGAGGAGGATCGAGGAGGAGGAGGAGGATCGAGGAGGAGGAGGAGGAGGTCGGGGAGGAGCAGGAGGAGGAGGAGGAGGAGGAGGAGGATCGAGGAGGAGGAGGAGGAGGAGGAGGAGGAGGAGAAGGAGGAGGAAAGGGAGGAGGAGGAGGAGAAGAAGGAGAGAGAAAAAGGAGGGAGAGAGGAGGATCGAGGAGGAGGATCGAGGAGGAGGATCGAGGAGGAGGAGGAGGAGGAGGAGGAGGCTCGAAGAGGAGGCCCGCGGCGCCCAGAAGCCGCGCACCAAGGGTCGCCTCCTGCCTGGGGGGGGCGGCGCGCCGCGCGGCCTCTGGCTGGGAGGGGTCCGTGGCGCCTAGCGCGGGCGGGCACGAGGAGCCCTCACCGAGGAGCACAAGCTGAGGCGTGCGTCGGGGAAGCGTAAGGCTCGATGGGCCTGTTTTCCACCACCGCCGCCACCGTAAGTTGGAGGGGGAGGGGGTCCTCCTCCTCCACCCTCCTCCTCCTCCTCCTCCTCCACCCTCCTCCTCCTCCTCCTCCTCCTCCTGCTGCTCTTCCTCCTCTTTCTCCTCCTTCTGCTCGTCCTCCACCTCCTTCCCCCCTCCAACTTGTGGTGGTGGTGGTGGTGGAAGACAGGCCCATTAAGACTCGAGTGCTCCAGAACTCGTGTTTGCCTACGCGTTCTTGGCGAGCGCGTCCTGGATTTTGACGGTGCCGTTTTCCCGGGATGCTTACAGCGGGAGTTCGCGTCAAATTTCAGATTGAGTCTCGTAGTTTCCATGATGGCCCCGTCAGGCCAGCCCGAGTCCCCCGAATTCGAGTCTTCCGTCTCCCCGAATCGAGGGGCAAACATCGGGACACACGGTAGGTTCATGCGGCGCTGGCGCGCCCAGCGACGCCGGCGAAGGTGTTCAAGGTTGAGTTCTGACACGGTAGCTCCGAGGGACACGGTAATGCCATTGTACCCGACGGAAATAAATTTGAATAATCGGGGCCGTGATCGATTCAAGGTTGAACGATCGACGCGGTAATTATCATTTTTTGTTGCACACGCAGACGCCGCACGAGCCTAGCGTACATCCAGCTGCCTGCGGCAAATCCCGCCAACATGCCATCCCGTCAGTTTGGGTGGCGATTGTTCAAGGTGGCACGGGAGGCTGTCACGCGTGGCGCCTCGTGTCTCCAGGCTCCGAAGAGCCGTGATGAGGATGAGGATGAGGATGAGGATCATGAGAGTATGAGGATGATGGGATGATGATTGTGATGATCATCGACAATGTTATTGATGGTGGCGATGATGGTCGATGCTGTTCGATGCTGTGTTTTGTGATTGATGATCGATGATGCTGATGCTGATGCTGATGTTGATGATTGTTATGGTGATGGTGATGTTGGTGGTGATGATGATTATGGTGATGATGATGATGTCAGTGGTGGTGGTGATGATAATGATCATGTTGATGCCAATAATGATAATGAGAATGATAAGTATGACGAAGAGGATGCTGATGATGATGTTGGTAGTGACCGTGACGATGACAATAAATGTATCGATGACGATAAATTTCGATGCTGATGATGACGATGATGATGGTGATTATGAGGATGATGATGATGATGATGATGATGATGATGATGATGATGAGGCGAATTCTCATGCTGATGACGACGATGATGATGATGATGATGATGATGATGTTGACGACGATGGCGATGGCGACGATGACGATGACGATTGTGATGACGATGCTGATGATGACGCGTATGCTGATGCTAAGGGTAACCATGATGTTGACAATGATGATGATGATGGTGGTGTTCATGGTGTCGTCGGCGATCATGATGCTGATGATGGTGGTGATGATGACGATGATGGTGGTGCTGCTGTTGATAATGATTTGTGGTTGCGATGGCATTATCGATGACGGTCACGATGCTGATGATGCTCATGCTTTGACGGTGGTGATGATGAGGATAGTGATCACGATGGTGAGGATGATCATGATAATGATGAGGATGCTGATTTTGTTGATGAGGATGATGATGCTGATGCTGATTGGTGATTGCGAGATGACAATGACGATGACGATTCTGATGGTGATGAATATGAGTATTGTCAATTGCCATCGTCAGTGATCATGATGGTGAAGGTGATGGTGATGATTATGACGCTGATGATGATGATGATACTGATGCGTACGATGATGCTGTTGGCACTGATGCTGATGCTGATGATGACGATGATGCTGATACTGATGATGATGATTCTGATCATGCTGATGCTGATGAGGATGCTGATGTTGATGCTGACGATACTGGTGATGCTGATGATGATGGTCATTATGATGCTATTGATGCTGCTGATGATGATGATACCGATGCTGACGATGATGATGATGATACAGATGCTGATGATGATAATGCTGACACTGATGCCGATCATGATGATGATGCTGTTGCTGATGCTGATGAGTATGATGATGCTGACGCTGACGATGGTGATGCTGATGATGATGATGATGGTGATGATGAGGATGGTGATGATGATGAAGTTGTTGATGATGGTGACGATGACGATGCTGATGATGAGGATGAGCATGAGGATGAGGATGAGGATAAGGATGATGATGAGGATGCTGATGATGGTGATGATGCTGATGCCGATGCTGATGCTGATGCTGCTGATGATGATGATGATGATGATGATGCTGATGATGATGATGATGATGATGATGATGATGATGATGATGATGATGATGATGATGATGATGATGTTCGGTCGGGCTGTATTTGTTGCGTTGGCTTTCTGTGAGGGAGTCTTTGGGGGTCCTTGGGGCCGTCGTGTGGCTCTCTTACGCCGGCTTGGGGTCTGTCTTGGAGACCTCATGACCGCATGGTGGGTGTTTGGGGGCTGTAGTGGGGCCGTCTTGGCGCCGTCGAAGGGCCGTCTAAGGCCGCCTTGGGTCTCACGGGAGGCCCTCTTTGGCCTTTATGGGGTCGTCATCGTTTTGGATGCCTCTTGGGCCGTCGTAGTTCTTTTGGGCCGTCTTGAATTCACGGCAGCCCGAAAGGGCGAGAATGCGAAGTTCGTTCAAAAGCTTAAGACAAATCAATGAGTTTGGTTTCTTTGGACCCTGGTGGAGGTCATCTTTTGGCCCTAACCCTTACGGGCCCTCTTGCAGGCATCTGGGGCCGCCTTGTCGCACGATTCGGCCGCCTTGGGGCCATCTTGGGACGTCTCCGAGGCATCCTGGACCAGCTTGGTGTCCGTTGTTGCCTGCACGCGCCGTCTGGGAAGCTCGGGACGCATATCCATAGTTTTTTTACAAGGGGTCGTGAGGAGGCCCTGGAGCACTTGGGAGCAGCGCCTGGGAAGACTGGAAGTGCACAATCCTTGAGCGAGCGCGCGTGCGAGGAGGGCTCTAGGAGGGATCAGCTATGCGGGAAGTGATCAATCCTCGAGCGGGTGCGGACGGAATGAGGGTTCAGGCGCTGGTTCCGCATCGCGGGAAGTGCACCATCTTCGAGCAGGCACGCGTGGAAGTGGGGATTTGGCATTAGCTTTAAGTCGGGCCTGTCCCTCTACAGGGGGAGTATTCAAAGAATCAAGAAATAGTCGGGGGACTATTTTTTAGTATTTTTGGGCATGTGGTGAGTATCTTTTTACTATTGTTTTTTTTTGTTCGTCCAAAATCCCCCTGTAGGGAGACACGCCCGACCTAGCATCAGCTGCCATGCGGGAAGTGCCAACCTCGAGCGGGCACGCCTGGAAGGGGCTTTCAGGCATGGGAGAAGTGCACCGTTTTTGAGCGGGCACGCGCGGAAGGGGCTGTCAGGCATTAGCTGCGATGCGAGAAGTGCACCCTCTTTGAGCGGGCGCGCGCGGAGGGGGCTTTCAGGCATCAGCTGCCACGCGAGAAGTGCACTCTCGTTGAGCGGGCACGCGTGGAAGGGGGGTTCTGGCATGAGCTGCCATGCGGTGCTGGAGGTGCATCCTCGGGCGGGCACGGGGAAAGTGGCTTCGGTGAGTAGGGGGGATGCACGCCACAGTCCACGGGCAACGGGGGGTATCCCTGGGTATTTTGTCCACGCCTCCACGTGCACAAGGCTCGGTGGCGGATGCCGAGGCGTGAATTCATATTTATCTACCGCCTGGAGGATCGATTTTCAGACACCTCGACAGGCGGTGGATCTGGATATATTCGGGGCCCCCGGAGCCCAAGTGTATCCATTTCCGCTGCCCTCTGATGTCCCAGGACGTCGGTGCTAAAGGCGCTGGATGTGGATACATCCCCGCCTCGCATATATGCATCAGGCTTCGGAGGTCCGCGCGGACTTCCTGGCGCGCGAAGCGCGCCAAGGGCGGCGCCGGAGGGGCCGCCGGGTGGCCCCAGCGCCGATCCGAGAAATCTGTGCGGACCGAATGTTTACGCAGCTGCTTGCTCGTCGATGGGAGGGATCCAGCGGTTCGGTTCGGTACCTCTTGAGTCGGGGGTGGACAGAACCCCCAACAGTGACACGTCGATTAGTGAATTGTCCATTTTCGGTTCTCGAGAGGGCGCCGCGCCCGTTATTTTCCAGGCTTGCGCCCGCCAGGTTTGGGCCTCAGGTCGTTTTCACTAAACCACGTTATACTAGAGGGAGGTCTGTCCATCCCCGATTGAGGGCGCGAGGCACGGCTCGAACTCTGCGAGGGGCGGGCGCGCTGGCAGGTCTCTCACCTCGCGGAGGCCGCCGCCATGTTCAGACGATGGGCCGATTTCCCCCTTCCACAACCACCACCACTACCAGATGTAGGAGAGGGAGGGGGAGGAAGAGGAGCGGGAGGAGGACGAGGAGGAGGAGGAGGAGGAGGAGGAGGAGGAGGAGGAGAGGGAGGAGGAGGAGGAGGACGAGGAGGAGGAGGAGGAGGCGAGGAGGAGAGGGAGGAGGAGGAGGAGGAGGAGGAGGAGGAGGAGGAGGAGGAGGAGGAGGGAGGAGGAGGAGGAGGAGTTGAGGAGGAGTTGAGGAGGAGTAGGGGGAGGAGGAGGAAGAGGAGGAAGAGGAGGAAAAGGAAAAGGAGAAGGAGGAGGACCTCCCTTCTCCTCCGTCCTGCCTCCTGGTTGCGGTGGTGGAGAATTGGCCCATCGTTCAGCAGCTGCCGGGCCGACGACGGGGTCGCGGCGGGCGCCGCCCCCGCGGGCCCGGGCCAGAAGAAGAGCGGGGAGGCGGCGCCCGCGCGCAGCCACGCGGCGCCTGCGGCCGACTTCTTCCAGACGCCGCTCAGCTCGTACTTCGCTCCCTCCGGCGACGACCCGTTCCCGACGAGTCGGGGAGACGCAAGGCTCGAGCGCGCCCGAGCTCGGGTCGGCCGTGGCTTTTTTGACGACGCGCGTCCTGGGGAGGTCGGCGGTCCAGTCTTCGGGGGACGCCTGCATGCGGGAGCTCGCGGCAACTTCCAGACTGGGCCTCGGCACTTTCAGGATGGCCCCGCCAGGCCAACCCGAGTCGGACCGTTCAAGGACGAGGGTCCTTTCGTTCCAGAGCGACCCGGGACCCTCTCAGAGCGCTCTGGAGCTTCGAGAGGGCCGCGGCGCCCGAGGCGTGCCCCGGGTCCGCCAGATCCCAGAGGTTCTCCATATGATCGGGAGGGAGCAGGAGCACAGTCGGGGCGCTGAAGAAGGAACCCTTTCCGTTGGGGAGGGGCTCGGTGCTCCTTGATGGTCTCAAAGTTTGCCTCGGGCTTTCCGGAGGTTTTGCACGGGAGGTTGGGGGTTGAACTTATGGGACAAAGGGGCCTCGTTCCTTATTTGGGGTTCCTTAGCTCAACGCCCCGACTGTATCGATGACACGCTGCCGTTGGTAGTAGCTATTCCGCGTGCTAATTCCTCCTGCGTCTCTGTCGGGAGGCCTGGCGTGTCTTCCACGGTCGCGCGCCGAGGAAGTCCCCACGCCCGCGTGCCATTGATGCTGCTCTTGCTCTCCGCAGGCATCCTCCCTCGATGCCGTAGGAGGAGGAGGAGGAGGAGGAGGAGGAGGAGGAGGAGGAGGAGGGGGAGGGGGAGGAGGAGGAGGAGTTGAGGAGGAGGAGGAGGAGGAGGAGGAGGAGGAGGAGGACGAGGAGGTCCCCCGCGCCCTAGCCTCACGTCTCTCCGGGCGATGCTGGGCAGCTCGCTGTTCGCGGGCGGGCCCTGGCGGGCGGCCTCTCCGGCGGCTGGCGGCTCGCCCCGCCGCTCCGAGAGCTCCACGGCCCGCGACGAGGCGCTGGCGCGCGCGCTGGCGCGGGAGGATGGGGATCCCGCAAAGGGCGGGGTGTGCCCAGTGTGTGTGCGTGTGCGCGTGTGCGCGTGTGCGCGTGTGTGTGTGAGTGTGTGTGTGTGTGTGTGGGTGTGGGTGCGTGTGTGTGTGTGTGTGTGTGTGTTTGTGTGTGTGTGCGTGTGCGTGCGTGAGTGAGTTCGACTTGCACCGAACCGCCCAGAACAGGTGCCCCCCAGCCGCCGGCAGCTCCCGACAGTGGCGGCGAGGTGGGGGGCATGCGGGGGGCATCTGTTCGCGGCAGCTCGGTGCACCGGCGGATCGAGCTCAATGCACCCCCTCTCAGGGTCGCCCCCTCCTCTGTTGGTGGCTCCCGGGAGGAGGCGGACGCCGCGCTGGCGCGGCGCCTCGCCCTGGCGCCGGAGGGAGGCCTGGCGGAGCCGTGGCAGGCGCCCGCCAGCGCGCACGAGGCGGTGCCAGGCCACTCACAGGGCTCACCTTCGACCCCATCCCAGTCGATGCGGCTCGACCTCGATGGCTTCCGATTCTTCTTCGATTCGACCTCGGGTTCCGGTTTGGGGTCCCGATGTCTCAATGAAGGCCTTACTGGTGCCGAGTTCCGCCGATTCGACTCCTCCCGACTTGGCCGCCGATCCCCGCCGGTACGATTCATTTCGATCGCCGATCTGAGTTGTCGATTGGAGTCTGGGCCCTCCTGCACTCATCCAGGCATCATCGTGTTGTGAAGAATCAGGGCGGGTCGGGGGGTTCGCTGTTTCCTCGCCTCGGGGGCCCCCGGCGGGCCCCAGGACCGCCAACGAACGGCTCGGGACGAGGAGCCGGTCCTGGGGAAAGGGTCGGGATTTCCTGGGACGCCGCACGGACAAACAAAAGTAGAAGTTCCCCTGTTTGGGCAGGGGAGGCCAAACGTAGGCCAGTACAGACGTGCCCACGAGAGGGGGGCCTCAGGGCCCATCTCGGGGCGCCCAACGGCTGCGTTTTGGCGCCCAGCGTGGCTGGAGCCGTGGCGCTGCTGCGACGCCTCACTGGGGGTACGTCATCCTGGGGGCACGTCTGGCCCTTCCCGAGGCCACGCGGACTTCGGCACGGACCAGGGCATGATATTCGTCGCCTGCGATATTGCCGGGACCCGGACCGAGATGATGGTGGACACTGGGGCGCAGATGTCGGTCATATCCCTGCCGACGGCGCGGCGCCTGGGCCTCATGGGCCGCCTCGACCAGTCCCAGCAAGGGGTTGCGGCCGGCGTCGGGCACGCCAGGATCTACGGCAAGCTGCGGCGCGTGCCGATCAGGTTGGGGCACGTGGAGTTCGAACTCGACCTGTCGGTGCTCGGAGTGGACGACGACCTGCTGATGCTCGGCATCGACCAGATGCACCGGTTCAACGTCATCGTCGACTTACAGCAGAGGTTTGGCTACACGCAAGCGTGACCCTTCGCCGGAGTGACCCATTGGGGCCACCCGATCGCCGACCGCGATACGACAGCAGCCTCCTGCGCGCCTGGGCTTGCTCCCCCCGCTGCACCCCAGAAGCCGCGCACCAGAGGTCACTGCGGCCTATCGGGGAACCCCAAGGTGCCGGTACCGCTATTCCCGGGACCTCTCCTAGGGTGCCTTCTGACCAGAGCCTCGAGACGAATCCAGCAGCGGCGACGAGGGCCGCCCAGGAAGCCCAGAGTGTGGAAAACGAGGGAAGGGCAGCGGTATGACTACCTCTTCCTCCGAGCCCAGGGTCACCCTTTGCGTGCAGCCACGAGGTGCCTGGTGTTCGGCGGCAGGGACGGCATCGAGGTCCCCTTCCTGCCGCCCCGGCCGCGCGTGCCGAGGCTCAGTGCCGGGTGCCCGCAGATGTGAGCGCTGCCAGCGCCCGCGGCGTGCCGCAGAGGCGCCGCGTCCGCTGCAGAGCGATCTGCAGGGCCGCCGGCGCATGGGGCGGAGTTGTCGCGACTGTACATACAGAGGGCGGTTTGCGACATCAGAGGTGTTTCCTCCTCCTCCCCCGGCTCCTCCGCCTCCGTCTTCTCTCGATCCCTCCCTCTGTCTCTCTCTCTCTCTCTATTTGTCTCTCTCTCTCTCTCTCTTTCTAGGCCTAGATGGGGTCGGAGCAGATGGGGTCGGAGGATCGCGCCGCATCGGCGATACATCGGCGATGCGGCTCGATGTGGACCCCAATTTTCTTCACGCCGATGGCGCCGATGCCTCGCCGACTGCGCCGATGCATCGCCGATGCGGCGCGATCTTGCGACCCCATCTACTCGGGCGGTTTGGTATCTCTCAGACGTGTGGATCTTTTCGGCGAAGGCCATCGAGGAGCATCTAGATTCTTGCGGAAAACCCGCACGATGTCGAACAATGCACAGCGGTTGGACGTCCGAGCGATGGCGAGGAGGGCGGTTTGCGACATCAGAGGTGGTCTCTCTCTCTCTCTTTCTCTTTTTCTGTCTCTCTCTCATCCTATATCCGACCGACGAGGAGATCTGTAGGCCTCTCTGCGGTGAAAAAGGCGCTCCCGCCCCCCCCCGCGGGAGCGGGGCCGCTGGCGTAGAGACCGAGGGTAGGAGATCTGCAGGCCGGTCTGCAGCGAAAAAAAGGAAAGGAGCTGCCGGGCGGAAGTGCCACTCTCAAGGGGAAGCGACAGCCGAGAAGTTCGCGGCGCGGAGGGAGCTGCCAGGCTGAAGCATCGCATCCTGCTCCCTTTTGCTTGGCACCGTCTCATCTCGATGCCGATCCTGGGGATTGCCTCGGGCTCTGAGGGCGCATCCCCAAGATTGCCATCGCCGTGTGTCTTGTCAATCTTCGGGGTACACCTTAGGCGATGCTTAAGAAAACTTTAGTTTTCGGCCAGAATCTCGATTCTTCTTAACGTTTCAATGTAAATCTTAAGATGTTGATAGAAGTTCTGGGTTTTTATTCAAGTTCTGAGACTCTGAATTTCTTAACCCATGAGTTCTTAAGCATTTCGCAGGGTGCAGGGGTCAGTTCGAGGCTGGTTAGGGGCCGCAAGGGCCCAACAAGCTCATCAGGCTTTGCGTGCCCGAGCGTTGTCATGTGCGGAGCTGGGCGCCCCGGCGCGAACGGCCGAGCGACCCCTGCAGCGGGACGCTCTGGCAACACGGTTGGCCGCCACAAACATGATCGGTTTCCTCCTCCTCCTCCTCCCCCCTTCCTCCCCCTCCTCTCCTTCCTCCTCCTCTTCTTCCTCCTCCTCCTCCTCCTTCTTTCAGAGCGTGAATTACCTACCCCGCTTTCGCTTCCAGACAAAACCAAGTCATGCCACGCGCCTCCTCGTCAAGCGGCCTCACCAGTACAGGCCGTGGTTTGGCCTCGTTTGGTATCTCTTGGAAGCGAGGGTGGTCAAAAGCGAGGTAGGGTTGTTTGCCCCCTATTCACGCTGACCGCGCAAAGGCGCCAGTGGAGCACCCGTGCTGCGCGCAGCCACCCGAAAAAGAGGGCGCAGGGGAGGAAGCCGGGGGGGAGGGGGGAGCGGGAGGGGGGGGAGGGGGGTCCCCTCGGGAGGGGAGGAGGCTCCTCCCTCTCCCCCCCCCCTCCTCACTCCTCCTCCCCCTCCTCCTCCCCCTCCTCCTCCCCCTCCTCCTCCTCCACCTCCTCCTCCTCCTCCTCCTCCACCTCCCCTCTCCTCTCGTCCTCCTCCTCCTCCTCCTCCTCTTCGTCCTGCTCTTCCTCCTCTCTCCTCGTCGTCCTCGTCGTCGTCCTCCTCCTCCTCCCTCTCGTCGTCGTCCTCCTCCTCCTCATCCTCATCCCTCTCGTCGTCGTCCTCCTCCTTCCTCTCTCCCTCTGCCATGCCTCCCTGCCTCTTGGTCTCCCAATCGGGTACTGTTGGAGTCCAATCGGGGAAGCGTAACACTCGAGTGCGTCCATCGGTCGTTGAAAGTGTCTATGCTTGGATTCCCACGCCGATGGCGCCGATGCATCGCCGATGCACTGGCGATGCACTGGCGATGCGGCGCGATGTCCCGAGCCCATCTGCTCGGGCTCCACCCGGGGGGCCTAGAGACTTTTCAAAAGGCCGTGCAGGTCACCGGCTCCCAGCACCACAGTCATCCAAGCAGGCGTTGAACGCGCGCGGTCCACACAGGCGGCTGCCCCTGAGCCAACAGACAAAGAGTCGCGCCTGCCGTGAGAAGAAGCAATCAGCTCACCAGTACCCACCGTTCGTTGAAAGGTGGTATTATTTGAGTCCTACTTCAATGATCGAATGGCTTCACCGTTGCCGCCCTCTCGAGGGGGCGGGTGGACACCCAATCTACTTCATCGTTTTCCTACTTCATTGTTCTACGTACTTCTTCCGACCGATCGGTATGATTCGAGTACGCCAGAACTTGGGTTTGCCTGCGCTTTTCGACGAGCGCGGCCTGGATTTTGACGGTCCAGTTTTCGCGGGACGTCTGTAGCGGGAGCTCGCGCCACATTTCACACTGGGCCTCGGCATTTTCATAAAGGCCACGTCAGGGCAACCCGAGTCCCCCGTGCCCGAGTCTTACGCCTCCCCGATTCCAGGGCACGGGGTCCGAGGAGGGGGTCGGAGGATCGCGCCGCATCGGCGGTGCGACCTGATGTGGAGCTTCATGTGTTCCACGCCGCCGGCAGCTACCGTGGATCCCGCTGACGGGGCTGGCCGCGCCAGCACTCTCAGTTGAGAAGTCTTTCACCTCTGAGCGGCCCCTTCGTCCCCCCCTCCGCGGCCGCCCCGCCTGTCCCTTCCCCGCTCCTGCACGCTGGCCAATTCGCGTTTCGGTGCCCCCGTTTAGCTCCAGCGCTGGTGCAGCCAACTCTGCATCGCCGCCGACGGAAAACATGTTCTCCACGCCGACGGCCCCGATGCATCGCCGATGCGTTGCGACGCACCGCCGACGCATCGGCGAGGCATTGGCGGTGCGGCGCGATCCTCCGGCTCTGTCGACGCAGAAGGCTTGCTGGGAACCCCTTTTTTTGTGGGGAGGTTTCCAGTGCGCGCAGCTCGCGCAGTGCCGGCCAGGACAGGCTTTGGGGGAGGGGTCTTATGGTGTCCAGGTGCAGATTCTGAGGAACTTTCGCTCGGATAACGTACAGTCAACCTGCAAACAAGGATGCGCACGCAGCCTTAATTCCGCACTGGCCAGCACCAGACGTTGCAGCGGCGCTGGTGTCGCAGCTACTCTTCAGTGCAACTCCCGACCCGTTAGGTTCTTCGGTCCTCGGGAGGCTGCTGATCCCGACCCACCCGCCAGTTTCGAGAATCCCTGATGATCCTTTGCGGCCCCGCCTCTCGATTGTATATCCCAGCCTCCCATGAGCCTACAAAGGGTAGACGCAAGCCTGTGCACGCAGCTTTTACTAATGTACTGGCCAGCACCAGATGTTGCAGCGAAACAGATACGCAACATGTGGCGAAGACCGTCTGGCGTCCTGAATAATTGTGTCATGCGATATCTGGCAGTGTTCGGCAAGTCTGGACGTGCTGACGTCATGAGCGAATGTCGGGTGCTCATTGGATACGGACAGCGCACACAGAACGAGCAACCGCAGCAGACACAGACCGTACCACACCTTCGAGGGACAGTCGTAGATGCCATACAGTCAACCCGCATGGCAAGGACGGGCAACATTCCCAAGGGTACCCTTGCAGCCTTGCCTCCTCGGTCCAGCCTTGGCCACCCTCGTTGGCCGCGCCCCGCTCGAAAAACTTCGAGATGGGCTTCCAAGGCCCTCGCAAGCTTCTCGCGCGCCCTGATGATACGGGTTGACTGTGGAGCCCAGGACAGGTTGTGATCAGACCTGAGTATGTGCGGGTCGCGGCTGACATGTTCGCGGGCCGGTGCGTTTGCGCGGGCGCTCGCGTTGTCGTGCAAGGCTATATGCCGAAGCCCGGCGAAAGCCGGCAGCTCGACGCGGCCAGGCCGAATACTGGGATGGGCGCGGGGATTGCTAAGGGGAGAGGGAGCTTATGAGTGGACGACAAATGGGTTATACCTGGCCTAACCTAGCTTATAAGTGGGTTACACATGCCCCGAGTGGCGTAGGGGGAGTAGACAACTCCGCTCAGTGGGCGGAGCCCATTTAGCCTGGATCGCCATTCCCCCCAAGCCACTTCGGGCACTAGCAACCCACTGATGAGCCAGGTTGGGCCAGATATGACTCACCCTGGTATCCGCTGATAGCCCCCCCTGTCCCCCTAGCAACCCCCGCGCCCATCCCAGCAGCCCCATCCCTCCGCCCCCCTCCGTCTCCAGCGCCCCCTCTGACGGCATCCTGGCCCGGGGTTTGGGGACAGCCTCCGCTCAGCTCAGAGGAGCCCCACCTGGGCCGCCGGTCGGCGGCGCGCCCGGGGGGGGGGGATTGTGAAGCGGAGAGGGCCTTCCGAGAAGGCTCGGAAGCCCCCCCCCCCGCCTTCTGAGGAGTCGTCGAAGCCTGCCCCCAGAGACACAGAAAACTTCCCAGAAGGCGAGGGGGTTCTTGAGTCCAGAGCGTCCGGAGACACAGAAACTTCCGGGAGACATCCCGGAGACACAGAGGGCTCCCAGAAGACTTCCCGGAGACCGAAATTTCCCATGCCCAGAAGTCCCGCCGTTTTCTGAGAAGGTTTTCTCCTTTTCTCAGTTCACCCCCTTTCCCGCCGCCCCCAGGGAGGGGGGCTGAGCCGGTATTCCTGCGACGGCTAGGTCGGGCATGTCCGCTCACAGGCGGATCTGGGAAGAAAGCTACAGGAAACAACACATACATTCCCAAAAAGACCAATGAGCACGAAACATCGTCACCAGACGATTGCCGAGCATGTTCTTTGGGTGGAGGGCAAAGGGTGAAATCTGAAATGCTGCTTCGATTGAGTTTCGAGGCTTGCATCTGCAAAAGGTGAACCACAAGTCGGATCGATCTCCGAGGCGCAAGAGCCCACATGGATTGCACCCTGAGCCCTCCACCCTACACCCCAGGCGATGCTTAAGAAAACCCAGGTTTTCGTCCAGAGTCTCGATTATTCTTAATGTTTCAATGTAAATCCCAAGATTTGAATCGACAGTCTGGGGTTTTTATTCCAATTCTGAGACTATGAATTTCTTAACCCATGATTTCTTAAGCATTTCGCAGGGTGTACTAAGAATATGCTCAGTAGTGTGCGCCTGTTGTAGAGAATACTCCTCCTGCTGGGGGACCTGCCCGACGTGACGCGACAGGGGGCCTCGCGGAGGGCCTCCGCCGCCGCCCCCCCCCCGCGCGCCTGGACCCTCGAGCGCGCGGGCGGGGCACGAGCGGCGTCTCCCCCTGCTGCTCCTCCTGCCGCGGCTCGCCTGCGTGTTCCTGCCTCCCTTCTCCTCCTTGCGGCTCCTCCTCCTCCCTCCTCCTCCTCCTCCTCCTCCTCCTCCTCCTCCTATTCCTCCTCCTCCTCCTCCTCCTCCTCCTCTTCCTTCTCCTCCTCCTCCACCTCCTCCGCCACAGTGGAAGCCCATGCCAAGAAGCTCTGGCCTTCCCAGATGAGGTCGGAGTAGATGGGGTCAGAGGATCGCGCCGCACGCCGATGCATCGGCGCTGCGGCTCGATGTGGAGCCCGATGTTCTCCGCGCCAGCGTCGCCGATACACCGCCGGCATCGCAAATGCATCACAGATGCATCGCCGAAACATCGGCGATGCCTTGGTGATGTGGCGCGATCTTTCGACCCTATCTACCCGGACCTCATCTAGGAGCGTCTAGAAACACCTTGTTTGCCTCCAGGGTGCCCTGGGTTTCTTGGGCTTCGATGGTCTTGCGATGGAGCGCGTGACGCTCCCACACCAGAAAAGTCAGTGGACGTCCTGGGGTCTCATGGCTGGGTTTCTTGTAGAAGGTTTCTTGTGGTCGAGCTCCTCCTGTACCCCTGCCCCGTGTTTGCTGCTGTGGGGCCTCCTGGGAGGCCATCGTATCTGGGCTTCCCCAGCGCCGTTCCCCGTTCCCCTCCCGTCTCTCGACCAAGAGGAGGGAGCGGCGTGGGGGGGGACCGCAAGGGGCCCTCTTGGCACAGAGGGCGGCCCGACCCTGGTCCAGCCCTGCCGCCACCCGCGGCAGAGAATTCGGCATGGGTGTGGGCTGAAGATCAGGAGGGGAAGAAACACACAGACACAGTGAGTCGTCGACCCCCCAGAAAGTATCGGGAAATATGGGAAGTGGGGGGGGAGGCAGAAACCCAGAAACTATGGGAAAGTTTTGGGAATCTTTTAATTTGTGTGTATTTATGTGTGTGTGTGTCCTGGGGCCCCTTCAGAAGAGGGCACCAGGTATGTCTGGCGTTAGCGTCGGCTCTCGTGGGTGGCTCGGCTGTCGCTCGCGCGTGCCGCCCAGCACTAGAACCCGTCTTTAGGATACCCGCTCCCCTCCTCCCTTCTCCCCTCCCTCCGTGCCTTCCCTGTCATTCTTCCCAAGCGTGTTCAACAGCTCTGTGGCCGCTATACTCCCCTCGTTATCCCCTTTTTGGGTATCTTGGGAGGCTCTTATCGCCACCGCTGGATCGCCTCGAAATTCTAGTCCGAACGCATCCCGGGAGAGGTCCGAGGGGTAGCGAGTTGTTCTTTAAAAAGTTGGGGGCGTTTTTGTTTCCGTGTTCCATGTTTCATGTTGTGATCTACCAAAACATAGGGGAGAAAAAAAAACAAAAACAAACACGTCAATCGAAACCATAACACAAATGACATTGGTCGGGCCCAACACGAGCGAAAAACGGCAACCCGAAGCATTACAAACACGGCAACCCAATATAAACCACCATTGCCAGAAACGGGAACCATCAAACATCAAACATCAAACATGCCAACCGTTCCCCTCCCTTCTCCCTTCCCTCCGCGCCTTCCCTGCCATTCTTCCCCGTCTGGGGCCCTGGGCGAAGGCCATGGCCAGGGACCAAGCACGTTCCGCAGCTCCGTGGCCCAGGCCCCGGGGGCCGCAGAGAGACTGGACGCGCGCCAGTCCAAGCATGGACTCCCTACGCGTCTCCGCAGCGGGTTGCCCTGCACTCTCTGGGCTCCCTCTATCACCAGGCGCATTCCACTGCTCGCAAAGTGCCTACTCGCAAACGTCCGAGCAAAAACACACGTTCCCCTCGACGCAAAGTATCGTAAATCCCCCGCGGCTGATCCAGACCATTTGCGAATAGTGACTCTGCGAGTAGTGGAACGCGCTTGCCTACTCTATTTCTCCTGCTCCCAGGGGAGGCAACGGGTACCCAGCCGCTACACTCCCCTCGTTGCCCCCTTTTTGGGCCGCCACCGCTGGATCGCCTCGAAAGTCTAGTCCGCACGCATCCCGGGAGAGGTCCGGAGAGTAGCGATATCGGTACCTCTTGTTTCCCCATGTTCCGCTAGTTGTTCTTAAATCGGGGGTGGACAGAACCCCCAACAGTGACACGTCGATTAGTGAATTGTCCGTTTTCGGTTTTCGAGAGGGCGCCGTGGCCGTGATGTTTCAGGCTTGCGCCCGCCAGGTTTGGGCCCGAAGTCGTTTTCACTAAACCACGTTCTACTAAAGGGAGGTCTGTCCATCCCCGATTAAAACAGTTGGGGGCGTTTTTGTTACCGAGTTCTATGTATCATGTTGCGGTCGAACTCGCCAACCCAGAACAGAGCAACCACGACATTGACAGGGCCCAGCACGAGCGAAACACGGCAACCCAGAACAGAACAACCATCGGCAACCCAAAATAGAAAACCATTGCCAGAAACCAGACACGTTGAAACATTACAGCTAAACGCAGTTAGACAGCAGATCGCAAAACGAACCGACAACGGCGAGACGGCAATCCCGCAACGAAAACTCCTGTTTCCAAAACAGGAAAGAAACGCTCGATCTTGAAAACGGAGAGGACAAGCCCCAGCTTTTTTTAGTTTTATAAGAAGGTTCTGAAGACCCACGGCCTTGTTGAGAAGTTTTCTAATGATGCCTTCGCCGAAGACAACCAACCTTTTATCAGAAAGGCGCGAGGGCTTCTGAGAAGTCCCGCTGCCTTTTGACAAGGCCTTCCCCTTCTCACTTCCCCCCCCTTGCTCGCCACCGATCAACACTCCCTGTCGCCCGTCCTTCGTCCTCCCCGCCAATGGCGCGAGAAACGTTTCCGCGCTCTTTTCCCCTATCCTCGCGTCGGGCCGCCTTGGCATCGCTCGGAAGTGTGCATCTTTCCCAGCGAGGACCATCAATCAAGGATCATCTTTGGTCATCTTTCGAACACGTACACGCACGAAGTCGAAACATGCACGCGGAAATGCACGTCCGAGCCATGGCCAGTTCACATACTCCTGTTCCCCTCCCCTCCCTTCGCCCTATGTGTCATCCCTGGCTTTCTCGAGCCCGTTTCCTCCGCCTCGGACTTCCGCTGTCAGGCGCTGGTGGACAGCGGGGACTTGTCGATCTTCACGGGGCTTGTCGCCTCATACGCGGAAAGGTTCAGGCACATGGGGTCCAGCTTCTTCAATTTGAAGCCGTACTTGTGCCTCCTGGACGCAGGCGAGGCTGGGGGGAGAATCGTGTTGTGCAGCCAAATGGCGCCTGCTGTCGCCGCAGCTCGGGACCATAGAGGTGCATGGCGACGGGGCGGCCAGTTGGGCGGCCAGCTGGCCAAGGAGTCCGCCCAGAAGGGGCCAGTCCACGGAGCATTACAGATCGTGTGAAGGCAGTTGGGATAAGTCTGATTTGCATCAGGTTGTTATTTAGTGCAGAACTGTTCAAATCATCGATTCTCCATCTGCTGTCAACATGCTGTCGCGCAGGCTGGGGGCGCAGTTAGTCTTTTCAGTTCAACTCCCGACCAGTTAGGTTCTTCGGTCTTCAGGAACCCACCCGCCAGTTCCAAGAATCCCTGTTGATCCCTGGGGCCCCGCCTCGCGTCATCGACGAATGACGACAGCCGCCCATGAGCCTACAAAGGACAGGCGCAAGCCTGTACACGCAGCTGACATTCCGTACGGGCCAGCACCAGCTGCTGCAGCGGTGCGTAACCAGAGGCGCAACATGGGGCGAGCACCGCCTAGCTCCCTGAAGAAGTGCGTCATGCCACGTCTGGTGATGTTCTGTGCGTCTGGGCGTGCCGAGGCCACGAGCGAGGGTCGGACGCCGAGGGGACGCGCAGAGCGCACACACAGAACGAGCAACCGCAACAGACACGTTGTTTCGTCGGCAGGGAGGCAGAGGCAGCCCGCACCAGCGTGGGGCGACTCCTTGGCATCGCTCGGACGTGTGCGTTTTTCCTCGGCGGGGACACGCGAGGAGCATCCTGGATCACCTGGCGAAACAAAGCACGCACGAAACAGAGCAATGCACGCGGAAGGGACGTCCGAGCGATGGCGAGATAACCGGGGCAACCGAAAGGCAAAGTGTCCGGCGCGCAAGAGATATAGCCGAAGACGGCGGCGGCCGCGCGAGGGGAGGAGGCGGAGGGCGCTCCAGGCGCGGAAGCATTCCGCGGTGAGCTGGCCGGAGCGGCCAGCCGGGGCAGGGCCGCAACAGGCACACAGAAGGCACCACATTGGGGGCCCAAAGAGTAGACACCACCACGACGTCGATGCCTCCTCGCTCCTCCTGCCAGCGAGAGGGAGGGGGGGAAGGAGGTGGTGGTGGTGTGCATTTCTGGGCCCCCTATCACACCTTCGAGGGACGTGCGCAGATGCGACACACATGCAGATCAGACACGAACCAACCACAGACGCCGCGCGCATCCAGAGTCGCAGAGGAAGAAGAAGAAGAAACGGCATAAACATCAACTTTTGGCGCTCCGCGCAGATTTCTTGGATCCGCGCTGGGCCCCCCCCCAGCCAGCGGCGCCTCTGGCGCCGCCCGCGCGCCAGGGAGGGGAGTGCAGCACAGATCCAAGAAATCCGTTCGGAGCGCCAGAAGTTTTTGTTTACGCCGTTTTTGTTTTGTGTGTGTGTGTATGTGTGTGTGTGTGTGTGTGTCTGTGTGTGTGTGTGTCTGTGTGTATGTATGTGTGTGTGCGCGTGTGTGTGTGTGTGTGTGTCTGTGTGTGTCTGTGTGTGTCTGTGTGTGTGTCTATGTGTGTGTGTGTGTGTCTGTGTGTGTGTGTCTGTGTGTATGTGTGTGTGTGCGTGTGTGTGTGTGTGTGTGTGTCTGTGTGTGTTGTGTGCCTGTGTCTGTGTGTGTGCTTTCTACACAGAAGCCGTGCAAGCAGCGCGACCGGAGGCGGCGGGCCACCGGCAAGCTCGCAGAGGGACGGTGGCGGCCCAGCACGGCGGGCGAAGGAGGCACGGAGGGTCGGCGGCGGCGGGCGCCGCAGCGGGGGCCAGCACCACTGAGGCGGGTGCCCTGTGATGGGAGCTTCGGCAGGAGGGGGAGGAGGAAGTGGAGGAGGGGGAGGAGGAGGAGGAGGAGGGACGAGGGACGAGGGACGAGGGACGAGGGACGAGGAGTAGGAGGAGGAGGTTGTGGAGGAGGAGGGGAGGAGGAGGAGGAGGAGCAGCAGCAGCAGGAGCAGGAGGAGGAGGAGGAGCAGCAGGAGCAGGAGCAGCAGCAGGAGCAGCAGCAGGAGCGGACGGAGGAGGAGGAGGAAGAGGAGGAGGAGGAGGAGGAGGAGGAGGAAAATGAGGACAAGGAGGAATGCAGCAGGGTAGCGCCGCCCTCGCGCGGGGTGGTGCGGGAGCCGTGGTCCTGCAGCAGCCCCGCCCCAGGAGGGGGGGCGTTGCAGCGGCGGTTCCTGGCATCGCCCTTCCTCGGAAACCGTTCTTGCAGGGGCGGTGCCTGCAGGAACCGCAGTTGCAGGAACAGTTCCGTGGGCGAAGAAAGCACACATCCGTGTCCACTGCCTCGCGGGCCCGGGCGATGGGGAGCGACCCCGCGGATTTGGGAGGTTCGTTCGGAGACTCGCCGCGGGGAACATTCCCATGCGACCGCGTATCCGCGGGACCGCGCCCCTTGGAATCTCTCCATGTTCGCCTCTCGCGACCGCTCCTGAGGAACGAGGCAGGACGGCGCCATCTTCTTGTATCGATCAGAGGCCCCTGTGCGTTGATTGCCCATGGGAGTGGCGCCGAGAGAGAGAGAGGAGGAGAACGAGGAGGAGGAGGAGGAGGAGGAGGAGGAGGAGGAGGCGGAGGCGGAGGCGGAGGAGGAGGAGGAGGAGGAGGAGGAGGAGGAGGAGGGAGGAGGATGAAGACAGACAGACAGAAGCCATAGACCAACGCCGTGCGGCAAAACACATAAAACGAAAACAACTGGCAAACACATCAGAGTGCGAGAATCTTATCTCGGCACTCGCGGGCTCTGTATTGGGCATGGTCTAACAGTTGCCGGGTGGTCCCGAAAACCTTTGAACAGGCAGGGCAAGTCGTAGTCCTTGCTGGGATCACGGACGCCACAGGTTTCCGATGGCCGTGAACACACATCTTGTGCGTAGCCACGGGTTTGCTGCTACTGAAAAGTTTGGCACACTCCGGGCACGGAACTGTAAGGGGCTCTGTGGAATCGTCGGCAAAAGGCGCCGATCCGATCGTGACGTCCCGGGCGAGACGTTTCCACTTCCACCAGTCGGCGGCTATGAATTCTGTCCACGCGGCTGCTCCTTTTGCTGAGCTTGGGTCCCCTAGCACATCTAGGTCGCGCCGGGCTGGTGGCGGCGCGAGCCTGGGAATCGCCTGGAGGTCGGCGAGAACTCGTCGGGACCACGAGGAGAGGGAGGCCGAGTGAGGCAGGAGGAGGGCCTGCAGTGCAGGGAAGGGCTTACGAATCAAGCTGGATATGTACAACAGGCGGCGCCGCCTGAGTAACTTGTCTACAGAAGGCAGCTGTAATTTCTGCAGAAGCGCCAAATCGCTTAGGCGTGGTTTCCCAGGGATCGGATAACGGCTCTCATGGGCTATCCTGCGCACGGCGCGCAAGTAAAATGTGTGCAACCACTGTATGTGAGTGCGCGAAGGCGTCCACAGCTCAGAATTGTAGAATAGCACTGAAAGGACGAGAGACTGGAAAAGTCGCAGCCTGAGCTGCACGCTCATGTGTTGCGCTGCGAAGACTTTCCGCACCAAGCTATGATGGTACACCGCGGATGCTTTCCGCAGGCGTGCACGTATGTCTAGGGCAGAGGACGCGACACCGGACTGCATGGTTCCTAGGTGCTTGTACTCGCTCACAACGGAACACTCGATGCCTGGGATACCAAGCACGGTCAAAGCAGGGCGCTCGCCGATCATCGCCTCTGCCTTAGCGGCCCGGACGCCTTTGCCCCTCCACATGATGAGGGCCTCTGACTTGCCGGGCTTTCAATTCAGCTGCATGCCGTGCTTCTCCATGGTGGTGTGCGCCGCTTCGGCCACCAGGGCGACGTTGCGGTTGAGGCTCGCGTTGTCCTCGCCCACGATCAGCACGGCCTCGTCGTCGACGTACGTGACCTCCCCAACAGGCACGGCGTGCGTTGGGAAGGCGTCGGGCTGGTGGGCCCATGGCGGGCCGCTTGGCTCGCATTCCCGCAGCGAATGTGAGGTTGAGCTTGTCAAGCGCTGCTCGAAGCTTTCCCAAGGCCACGCTATACACAATATTGAAGATCAAGGCGCCGAAGCGGCAGCCTTGGCGGGATCCCCTCGTCGTCCGGATGACCCTGCCCTCTGGGGAGAGTGCGAACCATATGCCTTTGTGCAGGTTGGCCACTAAGCTGATGAGGTGTTCGGAGACATCGGTCTGCTGCATGGGGTAGTTGGCCAGATGCGAGGCTGCCGTGCCTTCAACCCCTACCTGCTCTAGTTGCGCGGCCAGGTCCGCCTCGGTGGTGGAGCCGGCTTCAAGGTGGAAGGCCATTTCGCGTACCAGTTTGTCGAACGCCATCGTGAGGTCAAGGAACAGAATGGCCGACGGCCTCTTCTCGATGGCGGTCCTCTCGACGAAGCTCGACACGACGTGGTGGCCACGGTTGGCCCCAGAGCACGCCACCCCACCGCACTGCTGCGGAGGTAGCGCTTCCTCCACTCGGCGCTGAACGGAAGAGTACAGGACACCTGTGAAGATTTTCGAAGTGTGATCGCCCACCAGGAGTCCACGGTACATGTCGCACTCTGCCGTGTCGCCCTTTCCTTTGAAAAGTTTGGCTAACCGTCCCCCGCGCCATGCCACTGGGACGTCATTCGTCTGGATGACGTCTTCGATGATCTCTGCTATGTAGTCGGCTGCGAGGTCGCCGGCAGCCTTCCACACCTATCGGCAGGCCGTCGGGGCCTACCGCCTTGTTGTCCTTGATGGTCGGAAGGAGTTGGCTCACTCTGTAACGCACGTCGCCCACCTCAGCGAAGGCGTCACGAACAAGTTGCGGATCGGGCTGCGGAGGAGGCGAAGGCTGCGGGACGTCCTGCTGCAGCTCGCCAATTAGGAGCTCTGCGAAGAAGGTCTCCCACCGCTCCTTTGCCTGCGCCTCAGAGACTGCGAGCTCACCGTTGGCCAAGCGAGTGCCTGGCAACGTGGACGGAGAGAAACCTCCGAGTCGACGAACGATCGAGTAGGTCTTGCGGAGG